GTCTCTACCCACAAGTTGTATAGTTTACTTTCATCAATGTCTAGTGAGCTCCATTGCTGCACTTTTTTCACTGTTTTTTTCTGTGTGCTCCCGCTCACCTTTCCAAAGATACATATGTGAATATACCATAAAATAAGGTAAAGAAGACAGAATCATCAAAAACTGAAAACAAAAATTTTTTTATTTCCATATCTTGGAGTTTGTTTGGATATGTCTATTATTTTATATAAATATGAATTGGCATTTAGGCCTTGTGCTTTTGTGTTTTTCTTCTAAGATAACCTCTTTTGGTTTCACTGGGTATGAGTATCTAGAATCCTGTATAAGTTATTATATCCCAGTGCATTTTAGATCTATTTTCCTCATGTCAGAGAGAACATGTGCCCGTTTTGTCTTTCTGATCTTGCCTTACCTTACTTAACATTATTTGTTTTAGTTCCATCCATTTCCCTGCAAATGACATTATTTTTTCTAATGGCTATGTAAAATTCCATTGTGTAGGCTAGGAATGTGGCTTAGTGGTAGCATGCTGCCTAGCATGCATGAAGCCCCGGGTTTGATTCGTCAGTACCACATTCACAGAAAAGGCCAGAAGTGGCACTGTGGCTCAAGTGGTAGAGTACCAGCCTTGAGCAAAAGAAACTCAGAGACATTGCCCAGACCCTGAATTCAAGCACCAGGACTGGTCAAAAAAAAAAAAAAAGCATTGTGTTATAGGTACCACATTTTTTGGATCTGTTCATCCAGCATGGGGCATCTGGGCTGTTGTGAATAGTGTGGCAGTGCAGGTGCTCTTAACATGCCCCGCCTCATGATGTTCAGGGTAGATGCCCAGGAGTGGTGGGGCTGGGCTGTAGGGAAGGTCTTTATTTAGTTTTTTGAGGAGCCTCCAGACTGCTGTCCAGAGTGGTTGTACTAGTTTACATTCCCACCAGCAGTACAGTAGGATTCCTTTATCCCCACATCCCTGCCAGTATTTGTTGTTCAAATTCACAATGTTAGCCAATCTTCCTGGAGTGAGATGGAATCTCAGAGTTGTTTTGATTTACATTTCCTTATGGCCAGGGATGATAAGCATTTACTCATGTGTTTCTTTACCATTCTTAACTTTTCCTCCTGAGAAGTCTTTCATTAGTTCCCTAGCCCATTTAGTGATTGGTTTATTAGGTTTGAGAGGGATTAGTTTCTTAAGCTCTTTGTATATATTGGATATTAGACCTTTGTCTGATATATTGATGGTAAAGATCATTTCCCAGTTTGTTGGTTTTCTTTCTAGTTTAGTAACTATCCTTAGCTGTGCAGAAACTTCTTTTTTTTTTTTTAATGTTGTCCCACTTGTCAAGCCTCTCTCTTATCTGTTGTGCCCTTATACCTATATAAGCTTATACCTATATACTTATACCTATAAGCTCTAATGTTTCTCCTACTCTCTCGTAGTTTCAAAGTTTCATGTCTGACATTGAGGCCTTTGATCCACTTTGACTAATGTGATAAAATTGTATACAACTAAATACAGGGCAGAAGGTATGGCTCAAGTGGTAGAGATCTTGCCTAACAAGTGTGAAGTCCTGAGTTCAAACCTCAGTTTTGACTAAAAAAGAAAAGAAAATTAAGTGCAGATGATTATAAGTAAAACATTGTATCAGTGTTGATACTTGAGTTATAATAGTAGTTTTGCTTATTTTTTGTGCCCATATTGGGGCTTGAACTCAGGGCCTGAGTGTAGTCCTTTGGCTTTTTTGATCAAGGCTGGCTCTTAACAATTTAAGCCACAGCTCTGCTTTCAGCTTTTTTTTGGGTGGGGTCCGGTCGTGGGGCCTGAACTCTTGACCTGGGCGCTGTCCCTCAGCTCTTCAGCTCAAGGCTAGCGCTCTACCACTTGAGCCACAGCACCACTTGCGGCTTTTTTTTCTTTTTGCTTATGTGGTGCTGAGGAATCGAACCCAGAGCCTCATGCATGCAAAGCAAGCACTCTACCACTGAGCCACCTTCCCAGCCCTCCCCCGCCCCTTTCAGCTTTTTGATGATTAATCGGACGGACATTCCTTCCCTGGGCTAGCTTGGAACTGCAGTCCTCAGATCTCATTCTTCTAAGTAGCTAAGATTACAAATGTGAGCCACCAGTACCTGGTGTGATAACAGTTTTGAAAGATGTTATGGTTGGAAGAAAACAAAGAATACTCTCAAGGCTGAATGTGTTGTTAAATGGCTGTAATCCCAGTACTAGGGAAGAAGAAGCGGCTTATATGACGTTTAGGGATGTAGCTCAGTAGTCTTACAAAGATGTATAAAGTTCTGCATCCCATCCCCAGCACCCAGAAAACCATCTGTTAATTGTTGCCACAGAAAATTGAAGTTAAGGACTGGGAAAGCTTCTCAGTGGTAGAGTGCTTGCCTTGCATGCATGAGGTCCTGGATTCAATTCCTCAGCACTACATAAGCAGAAAAAGCTGGAATTGGCGCTGTGGCTCAAATAAATGGTAGAATGCTAACCTTAGCTGAAGAGCTAAGGGACAGTGACCAAGCCCAGAGTTCATGAGCAAAAAAAGAAAAAAGAAAATTGAAGTTAAATTTCATCAGTAATATTTCATTTTGCCAGTTCCCCTGGTCCTTAATTCAGAGCTGAAGGACTCTTCTCTTAGAATCATTGAACCATTTTCAGATGTTATTCTTGGCAGTGGCTGAATCTCTTGCAGCCTCAACACATTTCTGTAGTTCCCACCTCCTTGGGAGTTCAGTGATAGACACCATTCAAATACTTATTGGAATACCAAGATGATCTAAGGTTTGTCAGAAACCAGGAATTTCTTTTGTAGTTTAGAGCCTACGAATAGTAACACCCCAAACTGAGACAATAATGTCCTAGACATTACTATCAACTGCTATCCCAGAATATGAACATTAGTAGGAAAATGGGATTCCCTTGTCAGCCACATGTTTAAACTGTCCTGTTGAGATGAGGGCAGTTTAGAATAGTGACCAGAAAACTCAGTGTCTTATTAACCTCCCTTCTATTTCATAGTCCAGGGTATGTGTGTGTGTTTGCGAGCACACACGCATGCACATTCCTTTTAATTTTAAGAATAATGGCAGCTGGGTGCTAGTGGTTTACACCTGTAACCCTAGCTACTCAAGAGGCTGAGATCTGAGGATAGAAGTTCTAAGCCAGCCCAGGCAGGCAAGTCTGGGAGACTCTGATCTGCAATTAACTCTCAAACACATTATAAATAGAACTGTGACTCAAGTGGTAGAGCGCTAACCTTGAGCAAAAGAGCTCAGGGACAATACGCAGGCCCTGAGTTCAAGCTCCAGGATTGGCAAACAGGTACAAAAACAATATAAAATATTCATTTAGCAAAACTTTGTGGAAAGGAAAAATTTTGTGTGTGTGCTGGTCATGGGGCTTGAACACAGGACCTAGGTGTTGTCCCTTAGCTTTTTTACTCAAGGCTAGTGCTCTACCACTTAAGAAACACTGCCACTTGCAGCTTTTTAGTGTTTGATTGGAGATGAGAGTCTCATGGATTTTCCTGCCTGATCTGGCTTCAAACCACACTCCTTAGATCCTCAACCTCCTTAGTTGCTAGGATTATAGGAGATAGGAACCACCAGTGTCTAACTTGTAGAAGATTTTTTTTTTTTGCCAGTCCTGGAGCTTGAACTCAAGGCCCATGCTCTTGTCCCTGAGCCTCTCTGCACTCAAGGTTAACTCTTCACCACTTAAGCCACAGTGCCACTTCTAGCTTTTTCTCAGTCGTTTATTGGAGGTAAGAGTCTCATGGACTTTCCTGCCCAGGCTGGTTTCAAACCATGATCCTCAGATCTTAGCCTCCCGAGTAGGGTTACAGGTGTGAGCCACTGGTGCCTGACTAGGAGAGGATTTTTTTTGGGGGGGGGTGGGGATCAGACATGGGGCTTGAACTCTGGGCCTGGGCTCTTTCCCGGGGCTCTTCAGCTCAAGGTGAACACTCTACCACTTCAGCTAGAGTGCCTCTTCTGGTTTTCTGAGTGGTTTATTGGAGATAAGAGTCTTAGGGAACAAGGGTGTCAGTGGCTCATGCCTGTAATCCTAGCTACTCTGGAGGCTGAGATCTGAGGTCATGGGTCAAATCCAGCCCAGACAGGAAAATCCCTGAGACTCTTCAGTAAACCACCAGAAAACAAAAAAACAAAAAACCAGAAGTGGCGCTGTAGCTCAAGTGGTAGAGTGCTAGCCTACCACTGCACTAGCAGAAGAGCTGAGGGACAACACCCAGGCCCAGAGTTCAAGCCCCACGACTGACAAATAAGTGTGTGTATGTGTGTGTGTAATCATTTGAACCTATGTTTCTGTTACTCAGAAACTTTCTAGGTACTCATTGCTATTTTCTACCAGGAAGACAGCCTTGGATTTGAAGTCTTAAAATTCAAATATAAATTTAGATTTTCACTTGCTGGTTGTATATGGCTTATGCTTGTAATCTTAGCTTCTCAGGAGGCTGAGATTTGAAGATCAGAGTTTGAAGCCAGCTCAGGCAGAAAAGTCCACACAACTCCATCTCTAGTTAGCAAAGAAGCTGGCTGGAGGAATAGCTCATATGATAGAACACCAGCCATGAGCAGAAAAAAGCCAAGCAAGAGCTAGGTGCCAGTGTAATTCTAGCTATGCAGGAGGCAAAAATCTGAAGATTGTGGTTTGAAGCCAGCCTAGGCAGGAAAGTCAGTGAGACTCTTAACTTGCACCTATTTGGTTTGCTCATAAGCTGCCTCTCTATTACTTGAGCTAATAAGCCTCTTCCTTGAGTGGAGAAATTCCTTAATATAGATTTTCTAGAACAATATTGCATAGGAAATTAGCTCTGTTAATTACTTTTAACACACATATACATACTATAACATTAATAGTATATAATTTATGTATATTGTATAAATGATTCTTAATAACTTTAAATAATCCTTCCTCTTTCCTTTTGATTGTTGAAGAGGCTTTATTCTGATCTTATTTGTGTCCTTCTCTGTATAGGATGGATAGAATGACAGAAGATGCTCTTCGCCTGAATCTGTTGAAGCGCAGTTTGGACCCAGCAGATGAGCGAGATGATGTCCTGGCAAAACGACTGAAAATGGAAGGACATGAGGCCATGGAACGTCTGAAAATGTTGGCACTGCTTAAAAGGAAGGATTTGGCGAATCTTGAAGTGCCACATGAGTTACCAACCAAACAAGATGGCAGTGGTGTCAAGGGCTATGAAGAGAAACTCAATGGGAGTCTCCGGCCTCATGGAGACAGCAGGACTGCTGGAAGGCCAGGAAAAGAAAACATCAATGATGAGCCTGTGGATATGAGTGCTAGACGGAGGTATGATAGTTTATCTGCCTGCAGGATAGGTTGTTCTTACAAGCTAAGCCTGTAAAAATGAAATTAATTTCATTTAGAGGAGGGTGTTTTTTATCATAGAGTGTCTGGAAAAGAAGTGTTTCTATATTATCTGGCATGACTGTGAGTTACTTTCATTTCCAAATGAAGTTAGGTACCTGAGATTGCAGTTTAGCATACTAAGAGGCATAATTCTTACCCTAAGATAAAATCGTTATTTCTACATAAAGTTGGCATTAGAGAACTGATAGCCTTAGAAGGAGTAAAAACATTTTCTTTTCAGATCATTCCAGGAGTTTTAGGTTCTATATCTTATAGCATCTCTTTTTTTGTTTTGGGGGGGGTTTTGTTTTTTGTTTTTGTTTTTTTTGCCAGTCCTGGGGACTGTCTCTGGGCTTCTTTTGCTTAAGGGCTAGCGCTTTACCACTTGAGCTACAGCTCTACTTCTGTCTTTTTCTGTTTATATGGTATTAAGGAATTGAACCCAGGGCTTCATGCATGCTAGGCAAGCACTCTACCACTGAGCCACATTCCCAGCATCTCCTTTTTTCTTTGGTCAGTCATGGGGCTTGAACTCTGGGCCTGGACTCTATCCCTCAGCTCTTCAGCTCAAAGCAAGTGCTATACGCTTGAGGCACAGTTTTCTGAGTGGTTTATTGGAAATAAGAGTCTCACAGAGTTTCCTGCCCTTGCTGGCTTTGAACCACAATCCTCAGATCTCAGCCTCCTGAGTAGCTAGGATTACAGGTGTGAGCCACCAACACCCAGCAGCATCTCATTTTTATTTAATCAAAAAAGTTTGGGCCTAGTTGGTTCTGGTAGCTCACGCCTTTAATCCTAGCTACTCAGGAGGCTGAGATCTGAGGCTCCCCAATTCAAAGCCAGCCCGGGGAGGAAACTCTGTGAGACTCTTATCTCCAATAAACCACTAGAAAACTGGAAGTGGCGCTGAGGCTCAAACGGTAGAGCGTTTGCCTTGAGCTGAAGAGTGCAGGGATAGTGCCAAGCCCAGAGTTCAAGCCCCATGACCAACCAAAAATATAAATAAATAAAAAAGCATGGGCCTGATATTTTTGTGTATCAGAAGGAACATGTGCTAAGTTTCTATAGTGTTGCTTAATCTGTGCCACTTCCCTCTACCCCTGCACAGCACATACATTCATTTCTGAACACATTCAGTCCTTTTTTTCCCTTGTACTGGGATTTGAACTCAGAGCTGTGCACTAGGAAGGTTTCAGCAATGTCTCTAGCAATCACGCTGTTTCTCTGTGCTTGTATGTCTGTTCCTGTTTGTCTCTCTCTCCATCTACATCTGTTTCTTGCACCACACATACAAACACACATTTCACAGGCCTTTATTCTAGTGTCTTACCCACTAGGGATATATACTTGAAACTGGTGAAGGTTTGAGTTAGTCTGTGAAGTGAAGTTTTGTCATAGTGTAGACAACCTTCATTTTAACAACATTCAGTTTATTATTGTGTATGGGGGGGGGTGCTGTATGCATGTGTAGTGTATGTGTGCAGTGTTTGCATGCACTGGTGGTACTAAGGCTTGAGTTTAGGGCCTGGGACACTGTCCTTGAGCTTTTTTTTTGGTTCCGGTCGTGGAGCTGTCCCTCAGCTCTTCAGCTCAAGGCTAGCGCTCTACCACTTGAGCCACAGCACCACTTCCGGCTTTTTCCTTTTTGCTTATGTGGTGCTGAGGAATCGAACCCAGGGCCTCAGTCATGCAAGGCAAGCGCTCTACCACTGAGCCACCTTCCCAGCCCCGAGCTTTTTGTACTCAGGGTAGGCATTGTACCAGTTGAGCCACAGTTTGTTCCATTTCTGGTTTTTTTGGTGGTTAATTGGAGATAAGAGTCTCATGGACTTTTCCTGCCCGGGCTGGCTTTGAACTGTAGTTCTCTAGATCTCAGCCTCCAGTATAGCCACTAGATCTCAGCTTCATATGTGTCTGACTCTCTGTCTCTGACACTTTGTCTCTCATTTTTTTCCTACTTTTTCCCTTCCCTTCCCCTGCCCTCTTGCCAGTACTGGGGTTTGAACTCAGAATCACTTGGCTCAGCTTGTTTACTTAGCTGATACTTTTAAGTACTTGAGCTGCACTGTACTTAAACATGCATTGCTTTTTTCTTTTCTTTTTTGGTCAGTTGTGGGGCTTGAACTCTGTGCCTGGGCACTGTCCCTGAGAGCTTCATCTCAAGGCAAGCACTCTATAACTTGAGCCACAGTGCCACTTCCAATTTTCTGGTAGTTAATTGAGATAAGAGTCTCACAGATTTTCCTGCCCAGGCTGGCTTTGAACCAAGATCCTCAGATCTCAGCCTCCTGAGTAGCTAGGATTACAGGTGTGAGCCATCAGAGCCTGGCACATGCATTTTCTTCTATACCTTTTACTTTATTTTTAATGTTTACTTTCTATTCTTGTCCCAGCACTATTTTTTTAAACCATACCCTATGAATGAGGAAAATTATTATTTTCGGATATGGGGCTTGAACTGAGGGCTTGGGTGCTGTCCCTGAGCTCCTTTGCTCAAGGCTAGTGCTCTACCACTTTGAGCCACAGCACCACTTCTGGTTTTCTGGTGGTTAATTGGAGATAAGAGTTTCAAGGACTTTCCTGCCCAGGGTGGCTGCAGATTACAGTCCTCAGATTTTTGCCTCCTGAGTAGCTAGGATTACAGGTATAAACCGCTGGCACCAGGCAGGAAAATTTTTTTTGATAATAGTATTAAAAAGTCTAGCCAAGTGCTAGTGGCAATGCATATAATCCTTGCTGCTCAGGGGAGGGTAAGATCACACAGTTCTAAATCAGCCCAGGGAAGAAAGTCTGTGAGACTTTTCTCATCAGAAAAACATCAAAAGGCTGGAGGTGGATCTATGGCTCAAATGGTAGATTGTTAGCCTTGAGCAAAAGAAGCTCAAGGTGGTGTTGTGGTGCAAGTGGTAGAGTGCTCACCTTGAGCTGAAGAGAGCAGGGATAGAGCCCAGGCCGAGTTCAAGCCCCATGACAGACCAAAAAAAAAAAAAAAAGCAGCTCACAGATAGTGCCCAGGCCCTGAGTTTAAGTCTAAGGACAAACACACACACACAAAAATCTAGGCAGGCACTGGTGGCTCACACCTGTAATCCTAGCTACTCAGGAGGCTGAGATCTGAGGATCATGGCTTGAGGCCAGCCTGGAAAGGAAAGTCCATGGAATTTACCTCTAATTAACCACCAAAAAAGCCAAAATTGGAACAGTGGCCTTGAACAAAAAAACTCAGGGACATTATTCAAGCCCTGAGCCAACTTGAGTGAATTTCAGATCAGTTCTCTAATAGTTTTAGAAGAAAAATCTTTGCAATTTTAGGTAGAGTTAGAGGAATATTGTGATTTTTAAAGTAGATTAATCTTTAGATTCTTTTTTTTTTTTTTGGTCAGTTGTGGGGCTTGAACTTTGAGCTTGGGCGCTGTCTCTCTATAGCTTGAGCCACAGTGCCACTTCAAGTTTTCTAGTGGTTTATTGGAGATAAAGAGTCTCACAGACTTTCCTGCCCAGGCTGGCTTTGAACCACGATCCTCAGACCTCAGCCTCCTGAGTAGCTAGGATTACAGGCATGAGCCACCGGCGCCTGGCTTATCTGTTGATTCTTCAGAAGGAAATTCATTGGGTAAATGACATCATGCTCTTGTGCAGCCCATTTGCTTCTTAATCATTTTTTTCCTTTCTGGAGTGAGTGACTGATCCTACTTCATTTGGAGGAAGAAAAGGAAAAATGCTAGGTACATTCTATAAGAATACAATAATACTGATAAATTTCTCAAGAAGGAGAGCAGTGGAAAAAAAGTAAAAGCAGAAGTATTTTTTTTATTGTTTTTTGTTTGTTTTTCTACTGGTCCTGGGGCTTGAACTTAGGGCCTAGGAGCCGCCCCTGAGCTTCTGTTGCTCAAGGCTAAATATACTAACCTCTACCTGTGGCTTTTTGGTAGTTTATTGGAGATAAACTTATGGTCAAGCCAGGCGCTGGTAGCTCATACCTGTAATCCTAACTACTCAGGAGGCTGAGATCTGAGGATTGTAGTTTAAAGCCAGCCCAGGCAGGAAAGTTCGTGAGACTCTATCTACCGTTAACTACCAGAAAACCAGAAGTGGCACTGTGGCTCAAGTGGTAGAGCACTAGCCTTCATTGGAAGAGCTCAGGGACAGCACCCAGGCCCAGAATTCAAGCCCCAGGACCAAAAGAAAAAAGAAAGAAAAGAGAGTCTCAAGGTCAGCTGGGTGCTGTTAGCTCACACCTGTAATCCTAGCCACTCAGGAGGTTGAGATCTGAGGATCGTGGTTTGAAACCAGCCTGAGCAGGAAAGTCCATGGAACTTACCACTAATTAATGACCCAAAAAACCATAATTGGAGCAGTGGCTCAAAGTGGTAGAGCCCTAGCTTTAAGCCTTGAGATAACACCTGGCCTTAAGTTCAAGCCCCACAACTGGAAGAAAAAGTCTCATGATCTTTCCTGCCTGGGCTAGCTTCAAACCTCAAGCCTCAGAATCTTAGTCCCTGAGTAGTATTACAGGTGTGAGCCACTGGTACCTGACATAAACAGAAGTTTTAACATGAAAGCTGGGTCATAATTGCCTAAATACTTTATTTTGTCATTAATTGGGCGAGTTATAATATCAGTGAAATAAGATATATGTGAAGTAAAACCAATGTTCCCTCTGTTTTAGTATAATAGAGAAATACAAGTTCTCATTCTGTTTAGTTGTATTTCTTTTTTTATATTTTTTTGTCGATTATAGGGCTAGAACTCTGGGACAGGGCGCTGTCCCTCAGCTCTTCAGCTCAAGGCTAGAGCTCTACCACTTGAGCCACAGTACAGTACCACTTCCAGTTTTCTGGTGGTTTATTGGAGATTAAAGTCTCACGGACTTTCCTGCTCACTTTCCTGCCTGGGCTGGCTTTGAACTGTGGTCCTCAGATCTCAACCTCCTGAGTAGC